GATGAGGAAGATGAGACATCCGACTGCCCCATGGAGCAAGTCGCAGATGAGAATCCATCCGCCTCTCAACAACCCGAGAATGTCGACATGGAGCAGGCTGATTATGATCCAGATTCCGACGACGATGATTCAGATGAAGAAGGGCATCCTCCCGCAGGAAGGCCTACGTCAAAGGCGATGCCACATCCGAAACTTGTTCCAAAGTCACCGCCACCAGCATTCAGGCTTGTCTCCAAGGTCAAGCCAGCACCAAAGAACATCCTGGATGAAGAGACGGAATCCGACAATCATCCTGGTGACCGACCTGCACTTCCAAGGCGACCAGCGATGCGGCCAGTTCTCACATCCAATGATCGGTGGTTTGTAACATATGGATCGGATACAGACATCAGCCTCCAGAAGGAATCCGTACATCCAGGACCTTTCGGAAACTCAAAATTCCTTGTACGAGTACTACAAGGAATGCTCAACCATCCTCGACGTCAATCCGGATTTCCACTTCATCCCTGAGCATGAACGACGACATGGAGTCAAAGTATTTTGGTTGAAGGCCAGATTCAACGATTACTGGCAGCCAACACTCCAAGGTGAAGGACCTCATACAGAGAAGCAATACATGGACTTCATCAAGAAGGTCTACAGCATCTGCTGCTACACCAATGCTCAATCCGAAGTTTACGGAGCCGACATCACCCCGATGGTATGCCACAACGGCAACATTGATCTCGAGAAGACCGTCCAGAATGTCGAACAGGTTTGCAAATACTTCCACATGGATCCATCCAAGGCGAAACAGATCACCGATCTCTCTGGCGAATTAAGAGAATGAGCAGATCGTTTTCCGGATGTCTTCGACATGATCCAAGGCATGGTATCCATAAGGAATGACAAGGACATGGGTCCTGATGGATCCGTTGAGCTCTACGACATTGACCTGCATCACACATGCCAGGAACTTCATTGGAAATAAGCCAGGACTTCTCTTGATGGCTATGTTCCCGAGCTATGGAAAATCACGTTTCGACATTGCATTCGTGTTTCCATCCGTGGACGGGTCATATAAGGAACGCAAGGCACGGGGAGAAATTGTTCCAAGGAATCGGTGGGTCGAAAAGCTCAACACGAGATCCGCACAAGATGCACTCCGGCCCGATGGCAAGGAAGTCTATGTCGATCCAGAGATGGAGTTCTACGTGAGATGCAATAGCGGACACACACGACAAGTCGAGATCCAATCCTTTGGACGACCCCTGTACTCTGAGCAGCAGAGAGAGCCTCAATACGACGAACCGGACTATGATCTCCCAACGGAATCCATTCCACCAAGTCCGCATCCGTCAAGATCTGAGGCGCCTAATGAAGATGAAGGCGCAGCTCAGCCCAAGCACAGAATACGAAGGCCGGCACCACCATCCATTGAAGAAGAGAGAAAATTCAAGCCGTTCGCGAAGAAGCCCATCACATTCATGTTCCATGCAACCTATGGAAATCAGCTCCTCAGCATCATGGAGAACGGGCTCAAATCTGGGAAATCCCAGTCAAACTGTTCGGGGAGAATGCAAGTCCACATGGCATGCATCGATGACGTCATCCTTGACGACGATAGCAGCATTGACCCATGTGCCGGCAGGAAGAGATGCACTGTTGATTCTTGCATTCCTCAAGGACCAAGACTATGGCATCCGACTCTCCGAAGAGCGAACAGCGTTGACAGATCAAACCATCGAGGCAAGAATCATTGTTGCAGCATTTGAACCTGATGGTAGTAGCCTCATGGCGAGCAACAAGTGGATCATGAATCTCAGTTATGAAGATTACGAGATGTACGACACCAAGATCCGTGAATTTGCCGATGCCTTCTTCAATTATGTGAATTCCACCAAGCGCAGCAAGGAAAAAGATACTTCCTCAGAGACCAAGAAGCGACGGCATTCCACCGATCAGGACGAAGCTGAAGAGGAGACCATGGAACCCTCCGGGGAAAGATCCGTCAAACCAAAGGTCACCGTGGAATATCACAATTCAGAGAACCTAGACGAGTTCATTCAAGAACTCAAGGAATCTATCTCGAAACAGATTTGAACAAAAAGGACGCAGAGGAAGAGCTCGCGGAGACCAAGGCAAACCTCCTCCGCTTCATGAGCAAGTACAACAAAGATCCAAGAAGAGAGCTCATCCCAAATTGACAGAGTGCGAGAGAGCCTCATTGGCACATGTCGATCCCGATGAAAATCTCGGAGAAGAAGAATAATTCTACTTCCCTCATCGAGGAGAATGTCCCACTATGGACGAGTACAAGCAAGCACAACCAGGATCCGGCTATCCGATCAAGCTTCCACTTGGATTGAAGAAGCTTAGGTCACATGATGACCCGGAAACCATCCGAGCATATGCCGACATCCTGGGATCGCTGATGCAGCAGACCGACCGTCCTCCTGTGGACTATCTCAAGACGCATGAGTTCACCTCATCCATAGCGATCAACATGCTTACCTTGAACCATGGAAACCTCACGAGGAATCCAAAGCTAGACAACAGAGAGGTGTACAACATGCCGATGAAGGATCGACCAATCGTGAAGATGATGATGCAGAACAGTGCACACATCTTATGCCTGAATGAAGCAGACGCATTCTTCAGTCCTAATGATGAGAAATCCAGGGAGCTCATCAAGACGTTCATCCGATTTGGGTACAAGGGCATCGTGATCAAGCAATGGTCATCCAGACCGATCGCATGCTTTGTCCGTGGCGGACCTTCTGCAAGAGTGGAACTTCTGGTAAGACACATTTCCACCAAGAGTCAATATTGGGGAACCACATTCGGAATGTTCAGATGTTTTTTCGGAACCGAAGGAAGTTGCACTGATCCCGAATACGAAATTCCGACCTCGGATTGCTTGGCAACTACGGGACCATCCATGTTTACTGAATCCAAGAAGTACATGTGACCGAGATTGCCAGCACGCACCATTGTCCAAGGACATGGCCGAGACAAGGAGATCGTCGTTCTCCATATCGAGCAGAGTGATGAGTTTCGTGGCATGGTTCCGAAATCATCCAACAAGTCACTCCAAGAGTATGACGACCGCCACATAACGAGGGCAGATCTCCCATTTGCTACCGTTGGAGTTTTCCACATCCATCCTTCAATCAGCCATGGAGCAGCACGGGAAGATCTTCAGAATGAAATCATGCCGCTCGTGACTTTGTACCGATGCGATGCGATCACCGGAGACGCCAATATATCAGCGAATACCTACAGCAAACTCCAGCACGTCTTCAATCCGGCCAACGGTCTCGTGAACATCCTCATGAGAGCATATCAGAGACTGTGGAATGAAACGAAGAATTTGCCACTCGTGGACAGAATGGAGTATGCAATGGAGACTTCGTGCACCCTGAAATCCATTGTCCATCATCACCTGTACATGAAGCGTGGATCAGGATATGATCGAACATTCCCAGATGTGATGATGACTTTCGTATTTGGATGGGGCAAAACGAACATCCAGCAGGCTTTCCGGAAGGACGAGATGAACGGCATGGAAGATGAACAACTGGAACTCATGCGGAACGATCCAACCAAGGCCATTTTCGATTACCAGGTCTCATCCGCAGAACGCTTTAAGCACGTGAACAATGACATGTTCATGAATGGCTCGCAGGACTCCGACTCGCACAGTCCCCTCATGGTTTACATCCGCAGCAAATCTGCAACCAGGCAACGCAACTCTGAGAGATACCAGGAGTACCTCAAGAAGAAACAAGCCTGGACCCCGCAGGAGTGCAAGGACTACAACAAGCAGTGGGGAAATCAGAAGCAGTGGAAGGACTATAGCACCTCGACCTGGAATGATTATGGAGACTATGGCAGTCAATCCGACAGCAGCCGCCGATGGTATCGTCGATCCGACTGACCATGAAGATTCATACGTTCAGCGCCACGAAATCAATTCAGATGATTGATCCTCACCGCCTACAAGACTATACAGTGAGAGATCAATAGTTTCACAATCGTCCCGCGTGTACATAGCGATGTACATCACCCTTTGATACATCTAGGTATCTCGAAAAGAAGCAGTACATAGTGTTTTCCATTTCGAAAGCCAAGACATTTCATCCGAGCAGAAAAGAGGATGAATCCGGCATTTTTAATACACATGGCTACGGCATACAGCATGGCTACGGCATACATCAAGGCTACGGCCAAAGGCCATGAAGCCAATAGTATTTCATACTTAGTGCTGGAGATCAAAAGAAATTTGTGTCTGTTTTGTGTTTGGTTTACTGAACACTTGATCTCCTGCAACATTTGGCTCAAGGCCCCTTTTGTGTAACATTTGATAGCGTGAGCAAAAGAACCTTTGCAGGCCGCTTACGGGATTATCCACAATACAATCCACCAGGGACAATCCATCCTCCAATCATCCATAGTGGCATATTGGATTCTCTCCGGAATAGATCCAGGGACCAAATCAACGACCTCTACTACCACAAAGGTATGAGTTCCCTTCTGGGATAGGTACCCCGGCAGTGGGCCCTTCCCGAAAGCCGCAATCTTGACGACCCGTCAGGTTGAGTTCATTCAGGAGTAGACCGTAACTCGGATGGACGCAATGCATTTCGCACCACATAAGAAACATTGAAACCATTGTTTGGTGGTATTTACAGGGGAATCGAATCATTCCGTTGGGTCTCTTGGAACGGTGCGAATGGACTTCGCAACCATCCTCAGTGGCTCTGAACAAAAACTGAGCCGCCAGTCATATAACTTCACTATTGTTGGCAGGTGTTCCCTTTTTTTGCAGGGGGGGGGCGAGGGTTTTGGGTTTTCAGTTGTTGGGTGTTTGGTTTTTGGTTTTTCGGTTTTTGGAGTTTTGGTTCTGTTCATGTTTGTTGCGTTCTTTGTTAAATGTGTTTTCTCCCCTGGGTTTTCATGTTTTCGTTTTTTTCCTTCTTTGTGGCGGGCTGCCAGAAACGGCGTGGTTTTGGCCGTAGGTCTCCACCCTGCACTGCCGCGACGCAAAGTTTGTGCCGGAGTTCCTGGGCAGGCCGCCCACATGTGCCGCTGGGCTTGAGGGGGGGGGGTCTCAGTGCAACTATGCTTTTCGCGGGTTTTCAATATTCTGGAAGCATTCGGCTGCGCAGATGACAAAAATGCATCGTTTTGACCTGGAGGCTACTGCTCTGTGACATTAGACGTTTTTGCTTTGTGATATCATCAAGATTCCGCGTTAAGGGAAACTGGGTTAACACTGGGCGCGCTGGGCTCAACAATGGGAACAATGGCTCAAGACTGGGCGCGTGGGGTTTCACAGTGGGCGCACTGGGATCAACACTGAAGCACATTGGGCTCACCACTGAGCACTGGGCTCAACACTGGGCCAACATTGGGAACATTGGGCTCAACCCTCGGCACATGGGCTAAACACTTGGAAACTGGGTTAACGCTGGGCGCGCTAAGGGAAACTGGTTTAACACTGGGCGCGCTAAGGCTCAACACTGAGCACAGGCGCATTGGGCTCAACACTCAGCACACTGGGGGGGCTCAACGCTGGGCGCACTGGGCTCAACGCTGAGCACACTGGGCTCGACACTGGGCGCGCTAGGCTCAACACTGGGCGCATTGGGTTTCACACTGGGCGCGTTGGGATCAACACTGGTCACATTGGGCGCAACACTAGGGCGCATTGGGCTCAACACTGAGCACGCTGTCAACGCTGGGGCGCATTGGGGTCAACACTGGGCGCGTTGGGATCAACACTGGGCAGACTGGGCTCAAATTTGGGCGCGCTGGGCTCAACACTGGACGGGTTTAGATCAACACTGGGCACACTGCGCTCAACACTGGGCGCATTGGGCTTAACGCTGGGCGCGTTGGGCTCAAGGTGTGTTGGGCTCAACACTGGGCACATTGGTCTTAACGCTGGGCACACTGGGCTCAACACTGGGCTTAACACTGGGCGCATTGGGTTTAACACTGGGCGCGCTGGGGTCAACGCTGGGCACATTGGGCTCAACACTGGGCGCATTGGGCTCAACACTGGGCACACACACTGTCGACAGTGGGGCACATTGCGCTCAACACTGGGCGCGTTGGGATCAGTACTGGGCGCACTGGGCTCAATTTTGACCACATTCGGCTCAACACTGGACGGGTTTGGATCAACGCTGGGCAAACTTGGCTCAACGCTGGGCGCATTGGGTTTAACACTGGGCGCGTTGGGCTCAACACTGGGGCGCATGGGGCTCAACACTGGGCGCAGGGCTCAACTCTGGGAGCACCGGGCTCAACACTGGGCTCAATACTGAGCGCAGTTGTTCATCAATTGCTCATAAGTGTCTATATCTAATGCTCTGCAACATCATTGAGAGTAACTTACTCATCAATTACGAATAAGTCTACATATAATTAACTACCATCTTTGTCTTCAGCTCAAGATATTGCCAAATCAAATTAAATCTATAATTTTGTTATTTATTATTATGCACAGTTCATTCAATATCATAAAATCTATGTAGTTGTTTTTACTATTAATATTTTTAATATTATATCATTCTAAATATGAATATTTAATTTGATATATTAATTTAGCACATGCCGTTGTTAGAATAGTTGTTCTAGATAATTCTATTATTCTCTACATATTACACTGTTTCCAATCATATACCTTATTAGAATTATAACGTAAGCTAAACTGAAACTTGTTGGGGTTGTTCTTGTACTTGTTAGACTTTAATTAAGCTAACTTCAAAATATCTAAACAAATAATTAACTGTGAAACCTAAATCATTGAAATTTACAAACCCAAGGTAGGATAGTTTATCCACATATCTTTAAGTGATTTTTTTTACAATGCTCAAGCTCAGTTATCCCACAATTTAATTCTTCATTTTGTATCTGAACAATTATTAAGTTTGAAAAATAAACAATGTATATCATCATTATTGTTTCTTTAATGCCCAATCTTAAGCTCAAATGTTTTCAACTACGTATGTGTATGCAGCATATTCTGATTTAATGTTGTTAAAGACCAATTCAATAGACTCTTACTTATCATAGTACTCATTGATATGTTATTTGCCTAAACATTTCTTTTATCATCTGATCATTGGTTGAAGTTAAATCATAAGATGGGAGAAGGGCACCACAGAAAGAGACAAATGGCTCTGCTTTGAGCTGGTGATGGCATCCGAATCCCTATTTTGGACACAGCACAGGCAAATGGAGGCTCACTCACCAAAATCAATGGGGGCACGCAAGCAGTACTGATGATCCAAAGCCAAAAGCCCGGCCTATGCTGGGGGCGGTTCAAAGCGAGCAAGCCTCTAAGGATTCAGTCGAGCCGGAATGGGGGTGACATGTTGTATGAGGCTCGGTTCGAACACAACCGGCGACTAGCAGTGCCGTGGCACATTTCCCTTTGCCGTCAAGCAAGGCAATGGAAGTTGAGGAAATTGCGCAGTCTTCTTTCTCCTAATTACCAATTGTAGTTGAAAGGCTAGGGAGGAATTCCCAGTAGCTTCTCTTGCAGCTAGAGTTAGTGCATGGTCTGCATTTCTGTTCGAACTTGCATGTCCACAAAACACCAAGTGATCTTGGATTTCAGGGGATCTGAGGTTCGCGATGTTTCATCCAACTGGCTCCGTTGTCGGGGGAGTCCATGTGGGTGTGTCTTTGTTGAGGGTGCTTCAAAAAGAAACCAAAAGGAAACCAGGCCCCACATGCTAAGTTTCCCACCCCCCGAACAGGAGGCGTCCGCTAGAAATTGAATGCGCACTTTTGTGGGCGAGGAAAACATGGAATTGGGTCGTCCCCACTCCCTCTTCAGCCTGGGAGAGGGCTCACCGATGTTGACCTGGTGTCTTTCCAAGTTGCTCAGTGGTTTGGGGAAGGGTTCCGACCAACCAACTAAAATAGGGTGCCCATTTTTCCCCCATTGCCACTGGGCCTCTGCGTTTTTCTTGCCGCGTTTTTTGAGGTCAACGTGTGCCATGTGGGCGCCATCAGCGGGCGCGTGTGGATGCACCAGCACGAGATGGCATCAGCGGAGCTCGCCACAGGCCCGTACCGCCGTCAGATCGAAACGGAGCGCCTCGGATATGAGGACGTTGCGACGCCCTCAAAAACGTCGCATGGGTATTGGTCAAAATGCAGAACTAGCGGAATCTAGGGGGCCGCAGGTTTTTGTCCTTTCCATGTACAAGGGTTTTCATTTCTTGGTGGCTCCCAGCCATCCAGTTCCTTAGCTTTTTACATCCATTTTTAGTGTTTAGTGGTAGACCCATTAAAAGTTAAACTTTGAGCGGGGGATCTGGGGGCAGCCCAGGAGTCAAGGGTTCCATTTTAGGCACGTCAGTCACATGAGCGCCAGACAGAAGCCAGCTTTCAGATGAACCACGAAAGGTTTGATGGTGTACAAATGTTCACATGAGCCACGTCCTCAAAACTCGGGTAGATGAAGGTTACGGGGACAATAACCATAAAATGGCTGCGGATATCCGCCGTCTTAATTCTTGAAGCATGGTTTTGGGCCGACCATTTAAATACCGGGTTTTGATTTTGACTCACATGCTGAGACCTTCTCACAAGTACCTTTGAAACTGGGTGGTTTCCCTTCATAATCTGGGCGGAAAACAAAAAGCACTTGGATTTCCGCTCAGCGGGTAGCCTGGCCCAAGCTGATCGCGTGAAGCGCCATGGACACGGGTTGCTCTGCAGGGTTGGAACGCGTGGTGGAAACACAGGTCCACATATCTGCAGGACAGTCGTGTCCATTCCAGGTTCCGGTCTTGCACGAGCCGGCAGGTGACGGTCGCTGCGCCTTTTGGCGCCTCAATCCTCGTCGGGGAATCAGAGGCACATCGTGGAAAAGACAACTCACATCGAGTCGTGGAGGGACAGCTTGGCAATGCTGGGGGACTCCGTCCGTGCTCTCTGCCAACAATTTTGCAACTAGGTGCTTCCTTGCGCAGCCGTGATGCTCCAGCAGCCGGCTTGCAAAGCGCTTTGCGCGCAGTGTGTGTGTCCTGCGCTGTTTTTTCTCTGATTTTGGCGTGGAAATTCGGGCAGCAGCCCACGGGTGCTGCAGCTGCGTGCTGAATCCGTGTGTTTTTTCTGGAGCCATCTCTGCAACTGTGCCAGCTTCTTTCTGCACTTTTGCTCACATGCCGGGGCCGAAGGTGATCAGGGTAGAGTCGCCTAGCATGCTCATTTTGCTCCGTCGAACATGTGGTGCTTATGCAACTGCGGCGTTTCTTCTGTCCAAAGGTGTCGGGCCTTCAGCGTCGCTTGGGCCAGTGATATCTCTGGGTTATCGGCAATCGCGGAATTTGGTGCATTTACAGCAGCGCCCTCGCCTCAGCACATGTGCCCTGCGGCGAAACAACTGTTTTTCTCTTTCTCATGGTTCACTCTGCGGCTCCCCAACCACGCAACGCAGTTGGGGCTCTGTTCTTGGACACCAATGGAGCGCACAAAGCACGACACGGGCAATGTTGCCTTGACGCGTAAGACTTCTCAGTGTTGCTGGCGCGTTCCGCCGAGAGGCCGCTCGCATGCGACGCGTCGAAAAAAGTGCGGAAGAGTTGCTCAGCGTGTTTCCAGTTATTTGGAGGTAACAATCCCCGTGAGGCCGCCCCAAGGGTTCCCTTATGGCTCAACGGAAATGGAGACCATCACTCACAGGCTATGGGAGCTTCGATGGTTTTCCGGTCTCATGCCTTGAAGAATGTAGTAGAGTAGAGGCTGCTGGCTTGGTGGGGTGTGGGTGCTGGTGGTTCAGGGAGTCGGCTGACCGGCGCCTGATCTGCTTGGCCAAGAGGTTCGGGCTCTCCATTGGGTATTGGGCTTGTAAGTTTCATCAGGTACGGAATTCCGCATTCGTTTTGGCCGTCGCAACCCTTCCTTGCGAACTTCGGACCAATTTTCAGCTGGGATGCACGAGTTTCGTCGAGACCGCCGATTTTGACCGAGGTTAAACAGCAACCGCAAGGTGATGCTGGAGGGAGGGCGCATGCAGCGCTCGGCTCGGCATATTTTGGGAGGGTCGGCAAGAAACGCCTGTAGTCCATAGTGCTAATTTCGGAGGAATATGCGGGGGAGCCAAAGCGACGGATTTCTTCTAGAATCGGGCACTCCCTCCACATCTTGACTCCTGGCAGAGGGTATTTGGAAAATGCAGATGGGCTTTCTCGTTTTCCTTGCTGGGGCTCGGTGAAATGCCAGCAAATGCTCGTGGAGTTTCGTTGGACTTTTGGAATTGCAGGACTTGGCTCAGGCCCCAGGGAATTGTCAAGGCAACTGTTGGACAGGCATTGAACATATGATGATGCTTGCTTCTGCACTTCCACTCAAATTCAAGCGGGAGTTGCCCTTGAATCTAGCCGGAATTTGTCCTGGGATTGAGTGTTGGCAATTGCCCCTGTCTCCAAGGAATTCAGGAACTGGCAGGAACTTTACAAAACCGCAGCACAGTAGTTGAGGTTCCACTGGGTCACACATGCTTGAAACACGCCCCGCGATGTTGTTTTTGACGATGGTAGTGGCTTTCCATGATATCCCGCTCATTGCGGGAGATGAGGGATCCTTACTTTGAACAGGCCATCACCCTCTTTTTCGAGACGATACACTTCCGCAGGGATGGCAATAGAACGTTATGGTCAATGGGCGGGTTCCAGTTTCAAAGGCGGTAACCTACGAACATCCAAGTTTCAATCGACGTTGCCTTTTATTTTTGTTGGCGAGAATTCCTTGTAGACGATTGTAGACGTTCTCGTATTAAAAGAACAGTCACAAGTGCACAGATGGGCAGTCTTAAGGACCGAGATAGACATTGCATTTTTTGGCACAACCACAATGGCAAGCAAACAAGTTTGGGTTTGAGGAAGCAAGCTGGCGGTTGGCCTAAATGTTTGGCCGCTCTCCGATTGGACTTCCATCCGACACGAGGACTTTCAACTTCCAGCCTAAAGCAGGATTCGTTTTGAATAATACCAACCTACCAAATGATGCGTACTTGTGAGGGTACCCCAATTCGGGGTGGTTGTCCTTAGGTGTCCTTTTAAACCAAGCCCCAACAGCGTACTTTCACATCAAAAAACAGGCCGAAGGGGGGTGCCAAAGCCGCTAGTAAGGTTTGCCTGCCGCGAGCATTGCCTGACCGTGGGGAACGCCGAAGTGTGCCCGCCTCGGTAGGGATCAAAACACCCTCGCCCGCTAGGGGTGTGGTTTTCTAGGTCTCCCAGTGGTGCCCTTTTACCAACTTTTTTGGTGGAGGGTTCCCCTACTAAAATAGACTACAGAAAAAAGGGCACCCCTATTCTAACCTCCTTGTTCTAACCTTTTTACCGGAGGACCTAGGATGGCTTCGGTGTTTAAAACCGCCCAAACAAGGGTATTCCCAACAAAAACACATGTGGACACCTGTATGGGGTTTTTCGACAACCATCGTTAGGGTTCCCATCAATCAAGGGAACCAATACCATGTCCATGGCAAACAAATGTCATGTGAGTCCGTGTTGAATTGCTATTGGTTTCAAGTCGAAGGTGCGCCCTAGCACTTGGCTGCGGTGCGAGTTCGCACTCGTGTGCAGGATGGCCCATTTTTAGCCTTCCTTTATTGCACACATGTTTACCCCATCCCGTTTCCTCTTGTAGGTATGAAGCCCCAAACTTGTCAATTGCAAAACAAGGCTGCTATCTGCAAGACAAATTTCTAGGACATGGGGTTTGCAAAAACAGTCCTTACAGACCTTACAGACCTTCAGAGGGGAGTTTATTCATCCCAGATGTGCAGTAGAATTTGGGAAGAATGAACTGGTCTTGGACAATAATATATGCTTGTGGCAGTACTTTAGAATTTGGGCAATTCTACTTGTGAAATTCATTGGGCAATACAACGTTAGAGCTGGGCAAGGAGGTCAAAAGGATCACGTTGGTGATTGCCACATTTGATGATATGTCCAGTAAGGTTGAGTGAAATTCCATCAGGTTGACATGCTTCCCCCCATGGGATGCCATGAAATTTGATGCACAGCCTACTGCATGAGAGGAGACTCCAAGAGATGGAATTGTGCAGTATCATGTGAATATGCTTTGAAATGATTACAATGACAAGATGTAGCATGAGCCAGCAAAAGGGTTCAAACAAGTGCGGGGCTTGGTGGTGGAGTGACTGATTGTTCCCCCTCTCTTGCTTTTCTGTCCTAAACTTGTTGGCATATACAGTATACATGTATATATATATATATATATGTTGCAGTTCCCCAACTGGGTATGGGTCCAAATCAAGCCAGGGAACCGCAGGGTTTTCGTCCCTTCCATGTACAAGGGTTCCACTTCGAGTACCTATTTTGGACCCACACCCAACTATCAAAGTCAGGCACTTTTGGGAACGGGGTTTGCCAAGAAATTCGGAAGAAGATGAGAGAACCGAAGCTTGACCCAAGGCGACCAGGAAGGACCTATGTCATCCCTCTGCGGTGGCTTCCCTTTTGCACAAAAACGTTGTTGTTGGGAAACATTTTACATTTTTGCTTATTGTGGTTTAGTGGTGGAAATCCACATCCGTTGAACTGCCCAAAAATTTCCATTTTGTTTGCTCCCCTTCCAAGGTCAACCAAGAAAAGGCTGGCATTTGGCGTCTCCATTTCGGGTAATCACAGAAATCCAGGTCCTGCCAGGGGGGCCTTCAGTCGGAGCGCTTCTTCTGCGGCTGCCAAGTGGGCCTCAAGCTCGCGGGCATCGAGTTCGACGACACGCGCGAGCCTGAGCTCCGAGCTCCGAGCTGATGATCGCCTCGTGAAGCCGGGACTTTTGGCCGTGCTTCTCACTCCCGGCCAGCAATTGGTGCCCGTCTACCGCTTCTTCTTTTGGGGGCCCTTTTTGCTTCCTTTTCTGGTTGGGAGGGTTTCCCTACTAAAACAGACGAAAGAAAAGAGTTGGTAGCCTTATTCTAACCTCTACTGGAGGACCTAGCACCAAACGCATGGCCTCTCAACTTTTTGGACAGAGTATTTGAGTGATTTTTGCGTTTTCCGGTATGAGACCCTGCTGTCCAAGGTGCTTTTCTACAAATGATGCCACTGAGGGGCCAGATCTTTCACAGCTTGGGCGCGCGCTGACGGAACCTTTCTGGTGCCAAGTCTGATAGTTTCCCTGTCTTGTAAGACATTGTAAGACCAAGCATCAACTAGGTCCCCCGGCAATTGGTGCCATTTTACCCTTTTACCAACTTTTTTTTGGGGGGAGGGGTCCCCCTACTAAAATAGTCTACGGGTACCCTTATTCTAACCTCTCAGATTTGGAGGACCTAGTCCAAAAGGGTGCCCTCAAAAAGATGGCTGGGCAGAGGCTGAGCTGGATTCTAGGGGTCAGATTTACCAAATCCTCCGCTTTACTGGGCAAATATCAAGATGGGGACCCTGGAGCTGTTTGGTTTTGTTTCGGCTTCCCTTTAAACCAAGTTGAAAAGGGTAGCCTCAGAAGCAAACACACTGAGAGTCACCCATGTCGATTGGCAACGCTTGTCTTCAGGTGCCAGCACATTCAAGCAGCACCCAAGCAGCACCCAAGCAGCACCCAAGGGCCAAGCGCAGAGTTGCTTGCCAAGGTGACTTTTCCACCCATTTTAGTCTATTTTAGTGGGGATTGGGATGTTCACTGGGGGTACGGGGTTTTGATCCATAGCCACATGTGGTTTCTTCCCGGCCGGGGGGATTTACTCCCATATCAACCTTGGTCCGCCCCCTCTCCAGCTGCCCCCACTGCATCTCCTGAGGGTCTCAGACGAGAATCCGGGCAAGTGGTTTTCCCTTAGGTTGAAGGACGACGTCGAGTACGTGAAGCTGCAGTACTACCGGGGGCATCACATGGAGGAGACATTGGGTTCTGAGTGGCTTTCGATTGCCCATGTTCTTCTTGGTGGCAGTGATACTGGTAGCGAAATTTTCGAAATCGAAATGCAACCCATGGTAAAAAAAAGGTTCACACCACGAAATGAAACCCACGAAAAAGGAAAAAACACAACGTTGGGCATTTACAGGTGCATCGAATCAGAAATTATGTTTCTGTGCGTACGTTGGCCTCTGGGAGATTGACCAACTTTCAGCTTGACCAGGTCCCCCAGCAATTGATGCCCTTCTCTACCGTTCCTTTTTTGGTAGGCCCTAAAATAGACAAACGTAAAAAACAACAAAAAACGGAGAGTTGGTCCTATTGGTACCAAGTGATTCTAAGCTCTCAAATCTGGAGGACCTAGTTCCCCGAAGCTGCCAGGTGCCGAAGTTCAGTCCGCCTCGGTCCTCGGCTCGGCTCGGCCAGGAGCAGCTGCGGCAGCTCCGCAGGAACAAGGGCCTTCTGGCAGCAGATCCGCAACAAAATCCTCTCGTGATGCGGAAAGCAACAAAAGGAGAAGAACAAAAACAACGGGGGGGGGGGGGGGAAAACGGATCCGAAAAATTCAGAGGTTCCGGGGGAGTCCCGAATTTCCAGTCTGTGAATTGTGGAGTTTGAAGAACATGTCCTCGCCAAGTTACACGCAGCACCCGACAACTGCTATGGCTGCCAGGTTCTACCTTGCATGGAAAGTATGTGTCGACTATCCATTTGTCTATCGATCGACTGATCTATTAATCTATTTGTCCATCTATCTTTCTATTCCATTGTAATCTAATCTACTTTAATCTAATCTAATCTAATTTGATATATTGATCTGTCGAATCTGTGTATTTGTCTAATCTAATCCAATCTAATATAGTCTAATATGTGTGTGTTTGTCTGTCTGTCGGTCTGTCTGTCTGTCTGTCTACCTATCTAATCTTTATCTATCTAATCTAATCTAATCTAATCCAATCCACTCCAATCCAATCTATCTATCTATCTAACTCGAGGCCTTTTTATCAGCCCTCAAGCAATTTTGGTACATTTTGTGTTGGGACCCTGCTCAGTTGTTCTCCCGAGGTTATGACAAGCCTCAGCTTCTCAAAGGTGGGGGAACTTGGTGGGAGACCGTTTCACAGTGACATAGTTACATCTGTATGTATCCGGTTGCATACACAAGTGCATGCTTGTTGTGTACATCCCAGTGAACATCCCAATCCCCACTAAAATAGACCAAAATGGGTGGTAAATTATCTTACCCTAAAATGGTACCATGGGTAGCCATATACATACACATGTACCTCACCTCATAGACACAAGTTTGAACAGTACACAGACATGTGTATGAATGTATATGGGAGTGTCTTTTTTTGGGGGACTCACCCAAAAATGGTGGTTTTCCTTTTTGTTTCCCTTTAACACCAACAACAAAGGAGTACCCTCAAAGACAGCCATATATACAAATATATATATACAAATATATATATATATATATATGTACACATCCACATACGTACATGACGCTATACGGTGATGCTTCACGCCGGCATTCCGGAAACGCTGGCAAGGCTATGAGCACGCGGAGAAGTTCAAGCCTGAGGTCGGACAAAGTTGAAGCGGATCCAGCTGTGGGGAAATGGGTTCGGTGTCGCGTGGCTTTTGTCATAAACCAACCTGAGGCTGGCCTCCAAAGACATAGACCCATGTATTTGCGTAGCCCTTTGGGTTTTTTCGCCTTTGTTTTTGTGGGGTTCTTGATGCGCTCACCATGCCACTTCTTAGCATTCGCAGTGGTCCATAGTTCTCTCAGTCCTGGGATCTGCAACAGGAACAAGCGATCTAAGCAAGGGGGGGTGACTGCACCCACATGGTTCATGTCAGGGGAAATCCCTTGCGGCTCCCCCAAAACTATGGCACACATGGTAGACCAAATTTGAACAGAATCATCAATCATGGCGTATCCCAGGCCAAGTTTTGAGTTGGTGGACTATGACTGGGTCCCCCAGTAGTGCCCGTTAGCCCTTTTTTTGGGGTGGGTTCCCCTGCTAAAATAGACTTTCGAAAAAGGGGTACCCTTATTCTAACCTCTCTACTGGAGGACCTAGAATTCTTGGGTTGCGGGTGTGCAAGCCTGGCTTTGAGAGGTAGAGTGTTTGGCAAGTATCTCAGATGAACCAAAGGAGGCAACTATGAGCATGCGCCAACCCCGAAGCATACCCTCAGCCAAATGGGAAGGTCATTTGTGACAGTTCTTTAGATGGGCAGATCCATTTGCCCAGTGGGATTGGAGAGCTGCAAAGACCCGAAGTGTAAAGGCAAGAACCTGATGGTTTATGGTTGCAAATGCCTTTGGGACGTTTTTTTTTGTTTCTCAGTTGGGTGTGTGTTTTTTAGTTGGTCGTTTCCGGTTTTGTTTGGGGGGGTGCTTTCAGGGAATCCAATGAGTTTTCACCCATGCACATCTGGCAGGAACTGGCCAGCTCTGCCATGAGCGAGTTCGTGGCCGAACAGCCTGCGCAAGTAGCCGCTTTGGCAATCAAAGCGTACCTTGAGTCTCCTTCTGACCCTTTAAAAATGGGTACATGACCCCTTAATTTTGGGTAATGACCCCATTTTTTTAGGGTTATGGAGACTAGCTAGCAATCAATCCTGAATCCTGATGCCAGATGGTCGCGAATTAAGATGAGGTATCCCTCCCATTTTGAACAAGCTTGCCGGTCTAGGGGTACCTTCCTTGCCAAATCGCCCATATTTTCTTAGATCTTCTCGAAGCAAACCAAAAGAGGCAGGTACTTTATTGTCATATTTTGCGAGACCCCCCCTTTTCCGACACCTCTAAGATGGCTGGTTCTTGGCTGATTCTCGTTTGTTGCCGTGCCGGGAGGCTGATGCAGACCCCCCCCCCGTCTTTCCAGAGATCGATCGTGGCAGAATCTCGTGGGCTCTCGGGACGAATCGAAGCTTCTTGGGTTTAATCTCTACCTGGACTCTCCGTGACCCTTTACAAATGGGTACATGACCCCTTAATTTGGGGTAATGACCAACCATTTTTGAAGGGTCATGGAGACTCTAGGTATAAGTCCTGATTGAGTTTTCAACCTTTGGTGTTGCGACAACAGTCTCCGGATCGGAGCAAAAGATGTTTCGACTTGTCCCTCGCATGCCAAAGATCCGTTGCAGGAAACCTGTGGACATGCATCCGAGCTCCCATGGGTCCTTGCGGCTTTTTCAGGTGAGAACAAATCCGTGGTGCCTTTGCGAGTCGAAACTTGCGGCCGTCCTTTCAATGTGATTCTGTGTTTGTTTTCTATCATTAATTCATATTGGATACAATCGTATTACTTTCTCTATACATATGTATATATAGACATATAATATTCTTTCAACAATGCCCATTCCTTATTAGTTCGTATTGTACTTAATTCAACTAATTTGTTTTATTGTGTTTCATCATGTAATTAGTGTTTGAATTAAGCCATTCATACTAATATAAACGAGCATCTAACACTAATATGGTATTTAAAGATAATAATAACAAATGAATAAGCAATATATAAGGCTGAGTTTGCTCGAACAAATATCTGAATTTCGCCAGTTTCAGGGTGGTTCTCAGACCATGAGGGAGGACCATGTCCTTTTTTTCACAGGGAAGAGCGCTTTTCCTCAGAAGGTGCAGAGAGGGAAAACACATAAACAAAAACGATGGCGTCCGCTTTTGTTCCAAATCAGTTACCAGTTGACCGTGGCAATCCGAGGAAGTGCACCTCACACTTTGCGCCAAAAGTGGCAAGCGTCGCTGTCGCGTTTTTGAAGGCTCTCAGTCTTCCTTTTGCGGTTCACATTATGCTTTAAAGGGAATCTATAATTGCTGGAAATATATTCCGTGTTTCCTTTCATGGGGCGAAAAAGCAAAGGGAAGCAGTTCTTCGATAACCGAGAACTCCCCAAAGACATCGTGCAGACCATGAAGCGAACACTGATTTCAGTTTTGGTGTACAAAGCTGGACAGAGATTCTCATGTGGATTCCATCCCTTTCTGTTTCGAGGCCCTCAGTAGTTGGACCACCGCCCACAGCCGCCCGTGGGACGAACTCTTTTTTTTGTTGTTTTTTGTGTTTGAACTCCATATTTTCAGTGTTTTTTGTGGTTGCTTGCTTTTTTGGTGTGGTGGGGTGGGGGGGTGGGGGGGGGTGGGGGGGAATGATTACGTCACTTCTTCGAGTTTGCTTGACAAGAACTTCTTTATTTCCTGTTTCTGTGGGGTGTGTGATGTTCTCTGTTCGTGTGCTGAGCTGTCTTGTTTTGCTGTAGCTTGGTGTCAGAAGACGTTCGTCTAGCGTTTGCCTTCATCCTCTTGCTGCGTTTGGCCGGCGTCTCGCATTGTTTCTCCACACACTCGGTGCTGGGTCCTTTCTTCACTGTCTGGCTGCCTTACTTTGACTCTCTTCTGGACGTCGCATGCCAACCAGCGGACCCCATCTCGTCCTTTGTGTCTGCTGTCACGGTATGCCCACACAGGTTTCCGCTTGACTTTTCGGCTTTAGGCGCCTACGTTCCTTTCTTGTGGTCCACCTGGTGTGCATCCTGGGAGTCGTCATCTGCTGCGCCCTTGCTCTGCTTCCATCGGCGTGGCTTCTGCTTGCTCGGTCTTGTCTCGTCGCTTGTCTGGCTTACGTCTCGTCGCTGTGGGTGAAGAACAGACTAAGGACCCCTCCCCCCCGTCGGCTATTGAAAAGAGAGTTCCTCATGCGGTTCCCAGGCAACATGCGGTCTTGAACATGGGAAAATCGTTGACACACGATAGTTGGGGGCTGGAAAACTAGGCTTCTGAAAGCAGCGTGCCAGTGGGATTCGGGAATGCAAGAAATTCCCCACTGTCTCGGCCATTTTACATGAGGGACAAAATCCTTGACACACGATAGTTGGGGGCTGTAAAAATGAGCTTCTGAAAGCAGCGTGCCAGTGGGATTCGGGAATGCAAGAAATTCCCCACTGTCTCGGCCATTTTACATGAGCGACAAAATCCTTGACGCACGATAGTTGGGGGCTGTAAAAATGAGCTTCTGAAAGCAGCGTGCCAGTGAGATTCGGGAACGCAAGAAGTTCCCCACTGTCTCGGCGCATTTTACATGAGGGACAGACGGGGCTCTCCTTTCCCCCCTGTAATCGCAGCTTCGACAGGTTGCTCCGAAGCCAAAAAACGCACGATATTACACGGGCTACTATGGGCGGTGTACCCAGTAGTTCCCTCAAAAAAAGGGGTTGGGAGGGTTCCCTACTCGAATAGACTACAGAAAAAAGGGTATCCTTATTCTAACCTCTCTACTGGAGGACCTAGCATCCCTTTCTGTTTGGTGGCTTCGCCCTTATGGAAATGGTGAAGGTGTTTACTTGGGGTCACTGGGGGTTCGAAAACGAACCTGTGGACACTACCACTCCATGTTTAGAGAGATCTCAGGCTAAAAGTGAAACCGTTTTGCCAGCTCAAAAGGAAGAGCTTGCCGATGAAGCTTGTTTGTTTCTTCACTCAAGAGTGCCTTTTTGATTCCAGTTGCTGGATTGCCGTGATCTTTTGCTGGCGGTGAGTATTCCCCTTGCGGGATTCAGGACCCACAAGGAGTTCGAGTGTTGTTGTTTGCACACATGACTTGTCCGTTGAGGCTCACAAATTTACGGACGGTGGGGCCCTGCCTCCAAATGGCTTGCTTTGTGAATGGCATGCCAGTATCCCCAACTTGTTCATGCTTCCACGGCATACTCATGGCCATGGCACAATAATGGCATCATCTCCAATCCCTTTTGGGTGTCCAAAAATGGAACTTGAACGTCCCTGAGGTGGTTTGAAGTCCAATCTCTGATAGTGAGTTTCCTAAACATGGAGTTATCCCTTTTGGTGCACCCTTTTTTGGGCTGGGTGGTGCATGGTCCAACCTCTTTTTTCGGGTGGGTTTCCTACCGGCTTGGCCCAAAAGCCCCTTGGGTCCCGCCGTTGAACCCGCCAGGTCCCGGGGCTACTGGTCGCACTGCGGGGTCATCGGCCAGACCTCCGCGGAAAGCGGCCAGAATCTGCAGCAGCCGCTCGGACGGCCAAGCGCTTTTGAGCGCCGGCGTCTTTT